AAGAAAGCTCTGATACCATGAAAAAGCCAAGGTGTTCAAGGGAATTTTTATGTATCATTACTGTCATGCGTGAGAGTAATATACAGGTACAAGGAATAAATCCCTATAATAGAGGAGAGACAACAAATTGTTAAATACAAATTCAAAAACTACAACAGATGAGCTGGAGTCTAGGAAGACTTGGACCCGTTCAAGATATGGGTTTATCATGCGGAACTCCATAATCTACAGTCCTTAACATTCACATGGCTAACACAACTATTAATAAGTTTCTAGTTTCGATATTTCAATGCAGTTGGGTCCATAGGACTCTAATTGCTTCTTATTACTTGAAAAAAAAAATAGGAGGCAGGGGTGAGCGCCAAACTCAATGAGTAGGTTTAGATATCCCTCTCACCCCATACTATCACACATATGCTATAATAAATCAATTTAGTCCTCCGACTAGTTATATGATCATGCAATTTGTCACACAAATGGCAATACAACAGCAATCACTCACATGATTCAATTATCATCTTCATTATAATCACATCATGTGGAAAATAGTCAGTGCTCACCGAAATCCAACGAGTCTCCTCTCACATGGCTCGCCCTCTCAACATGTTGCACCAGGATCTCGATCCCCCCAAAAACCCTTTGGGACCGACCGGTCTACATCGCTCACTCTACCAATACTCTCTCATTGTTTTTCCATCTCTCTCTTTCCTTTCCACTACCATCAGGAGGCCACCCTGGGTATCCATATTATCCATATCATACATCATTACACACCGGGCCCACTTCATCGGCCAACGAGTCTCGATAGACCGCCTTTACAAACCCATCGGTACGCCCCACTTCATCCAATTTCCACACTAAACAAGGGCAACCCAAATATTCAAACACAAGGTTAATCAAATTGCAATTTTAACCAACAATAGCTCCAGCACAATATAGCGATTTAACAAAGCATATAAACATCTTAGCCATGAGCGATGAATGTAAAGATGCAGCAGAGATGGCGAATAATCTAACACTACTCACCTGTTCTTTATGATCCTTTTAAAGACTATATATTATTACTGCTTCACAGCTTTTTCTTCCAGCATTCCCAAAACTTTATAAGCATCTACAATAAGAAGATAAATTCTAATAAGAATTTTAATTCGAAAAAAATGATTTCACATTCACTTTATTAGTTTTTTGTACTAGTTACTACACTAAACTTATCCACACTAAAACTGTAACATTTAATATATAGTACTATATACTATATTATATATATTACTAACTATATATCTCTATATAGTATATATAATATTATATATATATAGTATATATTGTTCCTTAATTATTTATATATATATTGTTTCCTTAATTATTTATTTATTCTAATTTACAACCTTTAAATAAAAACTTCTAGTTATTTGGTACGTAATAATAATAATAATACTAAAAGTTTTAATCGTTACCACCTATTAAGGATTCAATTAATTTAGTTCTTTATTAAGTGTTTTGCCGAAATTCGGCAGCATTTCCTCTATAAATTAGACTATCCAAATTTTATACATCGCACACATCAACACACAGCCCATCCATCGGGCAAATTCTTAATCAAAGCCCATCCTCCGTTATATCCTCATTAAATCAACTTAAATCAATTTATCCACACTAGTATTTAATCCCAACTCAAAGCAAAGGTATTTTACGGATTTAGTTCATACCATGATAATGTGTATATACTTAATTAACCGTTTCTATTAAAATACTTAACTTCCCATTAATCTCTTTTTAGCACTTAAGGTACCAAAAGTAATATTCTTACCCTCTAGCAATCTAGGTTCTTAAATTTTTGATTTGGATTAACCAAGTTAAATAATATTCTAACTAATCACAATTTTTATTTAATCTCATCAAATAATTATAAAATAAGGAAATAAATTCAAATTGATTTCTAAAAGAAAAATGCAGAATTGGGTTATAAGGTTTACCAATGTGAAATTGGATCACATATTTGAGATCAACGTGAATAGGGGAAGATTCTGGTCACTGGAACGCCGCCGCACAGCAGCCGGAAAATCGAACCTTCACCAAAATTGACAATCAATACATCATTTTATTCGTTTCGATGAGAGGATCACTAATATGTGTTCAAATCAAGGTGGGTGTGAACCATTGGAAATTGGCCAGAAAGGTTCGGTGGTACCCATTTTGGGTTTTTCGATTCCAGCTATATCAGTCGGCGGGAAGGCCATCAAATGAAAGAGGGAAAAGAGAGGAGTCGATTGACACCTACCTCGACACCTCAAGTCACCGAAAATGGTGGGAAATCGTCGGAGAAGTAACTGCAACAGTGCTCGCCGTTTCGATTGAGATTTCTCTCAATCCGGGCTCAAATCCCGCAAACCAAGGCTTGAATCAAACTCCTTGCGATGAGTAGATATTTTTAGAGTATTTATTTGTCGGATTTGATGACCGACGGCCGAAGAACGAGAAGAAAGGGGAAGGGGGGTTTGTTGAGAGAGAATAGCGAAAGAGAGACGTGATACAGATCAAGGGAGCAAGATGAAGGATCCCCTAGCTCTACCTGCCGGGCCAACCACAAGAGCTCGTGCAACCAAGCTACGAGCAGCCTTGAATGCATTTGCTCAAGCGTTAGCGTCACGCTGCCGGCCAACCGACAAGACTCGCTCAACCAAAGCACGGAGCTCCTTGGAGCATTTGCTCGAATAGACAAAAGTCACATTGGAGCTTCAAGACTTCATAATTATCGCAAATGTGCAGCATTATGACTGAAGAACGCACAAAAGTGTTATTGTGCTTGAGGCAGGCAATAGCGCCATTGATTTATTTGCGGATGTTCGATTACTTAGGCAAACCTTTAGAAGGCATTCTATTCATTATGAGCTCTTAAGTTTATGCATATTATCGCCTTTGGCGCATTTGTCCCTATTTTGTTGTTCATAATTTCTTTTTAGTGAATTTTAAATTAAGTATGTTAAGGTCTAGTTGGACTGTATTCTCTAGGAGCTTTTAAGGCCGAACCTAGATATATTATATGTTTAACTGTCAGGCTGTTTTACTAGATTAGTTAATGTTTAAGTCAGGCTTGTTTTAAATTAGTTAGCTTGGGCTTGTATTTAATTAAGCCCAATTGGGCCATATTCAGTTTAGGCCTGACTAGCTCAAGTTAATAGCTAAATTAGGTTTAGCTTAAGTTATTTATATTAAGTTGTAAGAGCTGCACGGCAGCCAACATTAAGTTTAATCAAAACACACGTTTTTCTTTGTTCTTTAAAGAACAGATCGTGTTCTTCATCATTGTATGAATAGAACCAAATTATCCTTAGTAATTACGCTTGTGAGTTCTACAAGATTAATTATGCCAAGAATTTCAGAGTTGTTTTCAAGAGTACTTGAAGGTAAGTTTTTGATTATTGTTTTAAATTCCTTGCTTTCTCTCTTCAAGAGTATTTTGGGGTTTAAGGGATTGACGAGTACTTCCGTGATTGCATGCTTTCCGTTAGATTTTCCTTGTTGATTTGCAAGAGTACTTGTTAATTAGCTAGGGTCGTATTAAGACGCTGAGTCTCTCTTCTCCTTTCTTTTTTTTTCCTAGAATTTTCTAATTGGTTGATGGGGTTTGAGTCGATTCGAATCTGGTTTGGTTTAAATCATGGTTTTATCTTGGTTTTTCAATTGATTTATGAATTTTTCATCTGGTTTTCAAAAAATTCAAACTGGTTAATGGGTCCGATTTAACAATAATTAAAAATTTATTGTAAATCCTCATTGGTCGATTTTAAAATTAAATTTTTAAATGAAAATTCTATGAAATCAAATATTCGGGTCGTTTCAACAGGAGACAACGTGCTGGCTTGGGTATAGTTCTATGGGGATGCGAGTTTTTTCCTGCTTGCACTTTAGTTTTTCTTAATAATAAATTTTATTTCTCTTTTTGCTGACAAAAAACAAAAATTATCCCTTAATATTTCCTTTTAGATTCTCACCTTAAACTAATCTCTGTATCACTCTTCTGGCATCCTTCACTCTACAGTCAAGTAGACTCCTGTCATTAATACTAGATGATTTAATATATGCAACGAATTAGTAAAATCAGAAAACAAATTTCATATGGCTATTGAAATTTGAAACAACATACGCAGACAGATCAAGCACGTATAATTGGGAAGGCAAGTGATGATAAAAAGTACATCAAAAAGATTTTAGTTTTATGAATATTTGAGGGAGAAACATACAAGTGTTATATAGAAACTATGATATCACGTTAAATTCAAAATTTTAAAATCCAAATACTAGATTTTATATAGAGTTATAATTCAAACAACTCAGAGTTCTTATTCTATCTATTAATAAAGTGGATTTTTTTTTAAAAAAATATTTAAATAGTCCAATGACAACACGATAAAAATAAATAAATAATTCAAAATAAAAAAGATAAATATTCTGGTTTATAGATTTTATTTTTAAATTCTTCGTGTGTTCTTATTTTTCTTTTTTTTTTTTTTAATTATTTTCCTTTCATTATCGATCTATCAAGCAATTAATATAATTTACATTGAGATTCTATATTTTTTATTATCTTCCTTATTTATAGATTGCGTGTGTGTATATATAAAATAAATATAATAAACAGTGATTATTTCGTATAATTCAACAACTTTTATAATAGATTTTTACTTAGTTACCAGACAACTTACTCATTGGAAGACGGGGTCAATTGCCCCTCTCCTCTTAGGAGAAAAAAAAAATGGTTTACCTTTTCACATTTGGAACCCTAGTTTCTCCACTTTTTCCAAAGCACTTCAATAATTTAACATCATAAATGAAAAGTTAATTATAGAAAAAAGAAGGTTTTGAAGAAACAAGTAACTAAAAACAGTATTCTGTTTATAGAAAATAATAAAAGAATTACAACCACATCAACCGTAAATTACTCTACACAATTTATTATATAAAGGAGATACGTAAAATTATTTTTCAAAAGAAATAAAGGAGACACCTAAAGCAATCCCTTATCTAAGATCTCCATTAAGTGCTGGACTTAATTAATGGAGATCAAGCGAGCCAACGCTCTTTTCTTCTTTATTTTATTTTCTCTTTCTACTCTTTCTATAGGTTAGTCTTTCTCTTTTTAGTATAATTGTTATTAAATTTATGAGTTCCCTCCAATCTATATCTAGAGATGTTTCGTTGGCTGCGGTGAAATTGCAGGAGCTCAGGGCACCACGAAACACAACAATGTGAAGCTTTTTATATTTGGGGACTCTTATGTTGACACTGGCAACTTCAAAAAAAATGACGGAGCATGGATCCATCCTTATGGTTTCAGTTTTCCTGGTAAACCCAGCGGCCGCTTCTCTGATGGTCGTGTCCTCACTGACTATATAGGTAATTAGATTCTTTAATTACTTATTTTGCTTATGTAGCTTTTTTTTCTAATTGCCTTTTTATTTTGGAAAAGCGAAAAAAAAAAAAGGGGGTAATTTGAACCCCTTGATTCATTGAGTTTTATTTATTAAACTCCCTAATTTTTGTTTTTAATCAATTACGTCTTTATTTAACTATACGATTAGAAGGTAATAATCATAAACGTTAGATTTTCATTGTGAACTTTTCTCTATGATATTGAGCCTCCAAATTTTTTTTTTTTTTTTTTGTTAAACTTCTTTAATGACAAATTTTCATGTATCACATTATTATGAGTTCTATTTCTTGTTGTTAATGATTTTTTTTTTTTTTTTTTTTTTTTTGTTATAATCTCTTGTATGACAAATTCTTCATTGTTATCACATTATCTAGAGTTCTATTTCTTCTTGTAATGATTTTTTTTTTATTTTTTATTGTTTTGTTTTTTTTTTTTTTTTTTTTTTGGCTTTTAATAGAGCCACCCAGTTAATCTAGGTTCAGGTTGGGTAGATCCACGAAGGGAGCAAAAGGCTCCCTCCTGAATATTTTTAAGTGATTTCACACCTAAGCTTGAGCTCGAGACCTCTAGTTAAGGGAGAATAAATCATTGTTATTCTTAGGGTGTAAATGAATCAAGCCGACTCATGAGCTGTTCGAGCTCAGCTCAAAAAAGGTCTAAAAATGCTCGGCTTGAATTGAGCTTAAGCTCGAGTCTAATGATGTTCAGCTTGAAAGTTTGTCGAGCCTTATCAAGCTTATATATATAATATCATTTTAGGTTACTCAAGCCTCGAGCTTTCATTGGTCCGAGCTTGAGTTAAAAATTTTTCAAATTGAATTCGAGTCTGAACTCAAGCCAAGCCAGCTTGAGCTTTCATTGAGCCTAAATTTTTAGGCTCGTTGAGTTTTGAGCCGAGATTCAAGCCTGACAGGTTCGAGCTCGGCTCCGCTCATTACACTCCTAGTCGTCCCATCTCACCTCTCGGAGGTCTTGTTGTTAATGAGTTTGATTTGTCATTAAATCTCAATTTTTAGGACTTAATTAGTCTTTATCAAAATAAAGTTGATGGGCTTAACTTTTACAAATACGTATTTAAAGGCTTGGTTAATTTCAAAACCGAATATGTGGTTTACGTTCTATTTTCAAATTTAAGTTTTCTTTTTATGTGCAGCTTCATTTCTCGGCATAAAAACTCCACTCGCTTACAAATTTAGAAAATATGCAAACAAAACGCAGCTAGAGCGAGGAATGAATTTTGGGCATGGAGGGAGTGGTGTTTTTGAAACGTTTAACAAAGATTTCCCAAAGTTTGAAACCCAAATCTATCAGTTGGAACATCTTCATCGCCAATATACTAAACGCGATTTTGCTAATTCTGTGGCGTTGGTATGTTTCTCCGGCAACGACTATGCTTCCCATATGCAAAAAAATGGCAGCGTTCAGGTTAGTTTTATGTAGTTCAGTTACCACTTCAGAATTTAGGCACAGAATTGTCATTGCAGATTCTTTCAGAAAATATTCTCAGTAGTTTTGTTTATTTCTTATGTATAAACAAAATATATAAGCTCAAATGGGTTTTTAATAAAATAACTAAAGGGGGTTATTTTAGTCTATAATTAAACAAAAATCATTGAAATAACTATTCTACAATTATAATAATTAGTTTCACTATAATTAGTATTATGATATTGTACGTAATTATTACTATTATTTCTACTAGTATTTTAATTTACCTAATAGTATTATAACAAATAATTATAATAACTATTCTTAAAAAAAATTATAATAACTAAATAATGTTAGTATTATTATAAGTATACCTAATATTATTATAACAAATAATTATAATAATTAACAATCCGATTAATAGCCATTAAATTGTCATTAACTGGTAGAAAAAAAAAAAAAAAAAAATCATCAAACTGTAGAAAGAAAAAAAAAAAAAAAAAGAGTTGAAGTTAATTCATGGACAAAAAAAAAAAAAAAAAAAGAGTTGAGTTAATTCATGGACCAAACCAATCTCAATAGAGCTTTTTTTTTAAAAAAATTATTTCCATTTTACTTAATTTTGTTTCATTCGCATCAAATTTTAAAAATAAAGAGAAAAAGAAAAATTAGAATATATGCTTAACATGCAAATTCTAGGAATATGTTATCCTTGTGGTTTTAACTCTTTAATGTTGCTTTTTCTTTCTTTCTTTCTTTCTTTCTTTCTTTCTTATAACTTAACAGGAAATGCCAAGTTTGACAAGAAGAGTTGTAGATCAGCTAGTTAAGGATATACAACATATTCAAAGTTTGGGAGTTGCAAAAATAGCAGTAGTAGGAATGGGGCCGTCTGGATGTGTTCCCCAAGCAACTGACAAAATTTCTTACAATAGTTGCAACGAAGACTTAAATTCAGCCTCAAAGTTTCACAACCAGATGCTCCAGCAAGCTCTAACAGATTTGAACAAAGACAGCAAGAAACCTACATTCATGTATCTCGATCTTTATAGCTCATTCGAAACAGCCATGGACGCGCTAAAACGCAGTGCAGGTAATTCTATTTGAGTTAATTTAATATCTTGACGACTTATTTGAAGAAAGTAAAACTGAAATCTTCTTCTTCTTCTTCTCTACTGGTACAGAAATTATGGAGTACAAGAACCCATTGAAGCCTTGCTGTAGTCTTGAGATCAACAATGGAGAAAGGAAATTTATAATATGCAAACATCCTGAGCTAGCATTCTATTGGGATGATGTTCATCCTTCTCAAAATGGTTGGCATTCTGTTTATTTGGCTCTAAAACCTACTCTCAAAGAACTCCTAATTAATTGATTCTTAATTTTTGAGTTGTCTTCCAAACACTGATCTATGTGGTGAAAATTTTATATTTGTTTGAGCAATACTACAGAGAGCAAACATCTTCATTTCTGCACTGTAATGGCTGTCCTATTTTGAATGATGTTCAAAGTTCATAATTAGTTACTTCCTCTTATTATTATTTTCTTTCTGTTGTTTGAGGTATTTATTTAATTAAAAAAGCAATTAAATCACTTAAATTATAACAATAATACTTTTTAATTTGATTAAAATAAAAAATTATATATATATAATCTCATATTAAACATTCAGATTTTTATTTTTATTTTAAGCCTGACACCATTTAATAGAAACTAAGTTGAAGAACACGATTCATTTTTGACCAAGAAAATGTCTATCTTGATTTTGAACAGCTTTAGAATGTTTGGTGCAGTGGTAGGAAATTAAATTATTTAAATATCCCAAATTAATTAACAATTTTTAACTTTAAATACCTCATAATTTAAGTGAGGATATAATTGTTAATTTTCAATAATAGTATTTAATTTCCTCTAAAATTTTTCCCTTTCTAAGTAAAGAAAAATATTTTTTTTTCTTCATATATTATATGCCAACACAAGTGTGCAAAATAATTTGGAAAAGAAATTGACAATTCCTCGTTATTTTTCTCTATTATTTTCTTCCTCCAATATTTTCCTTTCTATCCTTTCCAAAAAAATGGTTAATTACTATAAAAAAAAGGATAGAGTTATTTTCAGAGTGCATTTTATTAATAACAGAACAATTAAATTTTTTAATATTAAACTGACTGTATTACTCTTCTAGTTAAATATTACGTTTAACCCATAAAATCCCTAACTCTTGAACAACAGGTCTTTCAATTTCTCTCTAAAATAAATAAAACTAATTAATCCATAGTCAAATCCTTTACACAATATTTTCGAATGACCGGGTCATTTATTTGCATGCTTTTTGGTGATTCTTACTTCTCGTCAAAAGCTAGAAGTGGCTTTTGCTTTTTGGGATCAGAAATGAGACTGAATTCATATATATGGTAGACCCTTTTATATTAATAGATGTAAATCATGAAATTTATTTTGGTTGGTGAACCATTCTGCAATAAAAGAAAGGAAAGGGAGTTACATAAATGCTGCAAAATTGGCATCAAGATGGGTCTCTTTTTATAAACATGGGTCTTCAATTTCAATTTATGGCAACGAATAAATTTTTATACTTCTTCTTTTAATGATAAATTTTTAAGTTAGAAAGGGTAATATAGTCAGTTTAATATTAAAAAAAAAATTCATTACTCAGGTATTAACAAAATGCGATCTGGAAACAACGCTAACCTAAAAAAAAGTCACCGGGTTTTCGTATAAAATTTGTGCAAAATTGAAATACCCCGAATTTTTATTTCGAAACTTTTGAATTTTTATTAAATCAAAAATTTCGATTTTCGACTATATGGGCTATCAACACCAAACAATCTTAATTTGAGTCCAAAGTTTTGCGAGTTGGGCCCATGCCCAAATATATTGTCGGAATTTTCGGTTTGAAAACAGTTAAAATTTTCGAGAAATAATATGAAACTCCAGCAATTTAATCTATTATTAATATATATAAATTAATTATCCTAAAATCAAATATCATTACTATTAATATTACTCCAGCCAATTTAATCTATTATTTAATATATATAAATTTAATTTATCCTGTAAAAATCGAAATATCATTACTATTAATATTTTATTATTATTTGAGGTAAATGGAGAAATGTTACGGTGAACCTAACCTAAAATAAATCAAAATAAACGAAACCAGACCCAAAAAATCAAGATTGATTTTTCGATAACCACATGAATAACCTGGGGAAAACCTGAAAACCAAGTGAAAAACCTGCAAAAGGAGCAAAAAAAGGGCCAAATCATTGAATTGAACCAAACCGGTTCGAATCAAATCGGAATGGCCTAGAGTTCTCCAGAACCATTTTTTTTTCTTTTCTTTCCTTCTCCTCCTCCGCGCGTTCTTCTCCGCCCCTTCTCCCCTCCTCCTTTCCTGGTCAGCCACCTGAGCTCCTCGCCGTCGTTTCCTCTCCGCAGCAAGCTCCGACCTCACCGCAGTGTTAACATGGCCTCTGTCCATTCGTCTCTAATGTCAGCGGCTGTCGCAGGAGGAGTCGCGACCAAAATCGCATCGAGCCTCCTGCTCCGCAACTTTCCGGCGACACCGGCTCCTCTCGCATCACGGAGAAACGCGGTCTCTCCTTCGTTCTCCGCTTCGTCTCCGGCGGCTACTGCAGCGTGGGTGAGATGCGGTTCTCCTCCTTTGGATCGAGATGCGGTTCTCCTCCTTTGGATCGACGGCAATGGTGGCAGTGGCTGTCAATGCCCGTTCCGGCTAGACCAGCCACGGGCTCAACAAATGGACGACAAAATCAAGCTCCCTATGAAATTTCGAGTCTAGGGGTGTGTGGATCGCAAAATTCTAGGCCAAAACGATTTCCCGACCACCGTGCATGGCAGCCGGCGACAAGACGGTGAGGCCCCAATAGGCAGAATGATCTCCCTTTCGTGCTGATCATGTAATCGTTGTCGGATTCTCAATTGGTATGTTCTAAGACCAATTTCCCATTTTCGGTATAAATTCTAAACTTAATAATTATTAGTTAATTGTGACATCCTACTGAGTCGAGTCTTTTCATAGAGTCGAGTTGAGTCGGGCCGAACCAAACCCGGTTGGGGTAGATTATAAGTGGACTTACTTGAATGAGAGAAAAAGATCAAAGTATAAGGGTTAGGATTTACTTTAGGATTACTTGCACTAAAAGATCAAGAAGCTGGTATTTAAGTTTTAACCTGGACTTTTTGAGGTACCATTTAGTAAGTTTTACAATAAAATTTCCTTGATATTTTTGATGGCCTACCGTAAGAATCATATTCACTTTTCCCCATTTCATTGTCTTTATCTTCATCTTCTTTCATTCTACCTTCCTTTCTCATCCATTTCATGGGTAGTTAAGGCGATTTAAGGCAAACTCTATTTTCTCCAAGTAATGTAGGAATGTTCTTGAAGTGTTATGTTATCAACCTCTAATTGAGTTTATAGCTGTAGATAAGTTATAAGAATTCTGATGTCTGTATAGGAGAAGTGAAGTTCAAAGATTGTTAGAAAAAGGAAAGCTAAGGAAGAACTCAAGCATTGTTTGGATTGAAGGTTTGATATCTCTTGGCTTTTACCATTTTCTTTGCATGAAGACTTTGTGTGGTTGTTATAATTGCAGTTCAATATATGCTTAATGTTGAGTGAGAGGACTGAAATGGAGTGAGAAACATGGGACTGAACTGAAACAAATGAAGTAGATATGAGTTATGCTGAAACAGGTTTTGCTGGAAAAAAGAACCAGCGACTTCACCTTGATTTGACCCATTAATGATGAATTTAGGAAGTGTCATAGAAAAGAGTTATTTTTTCCTCTATTGCTTTAGGCTTACATTGGGTTTTTGAAATCACCCAAATCGGAGTTATATATTGAGAGATGGATGGGAGTTGTATATTGAGAGATATGACCAAAAGAGTACAGACTGTGCAGGCTGGAAAACAAGTCGCGCGCTCGCGAATTTCATTTGCGCGCTCGCGACTTGTGCCTGGAAACTCTCTGACTCTCATTTGGTGCTTTACACGCTCGTGACTTTCATTGTGCGGTCGCGAATTTGGCCTGGAAACTCACTGACTCTCATATTTGCATCTCGCGCTCGCGACTTTGCAAGGCGCGCTCGCGACTTGTGTTTCCATGCTCTTTTGGACTTCATTTTCAATGCAATTGGATTCCTTTGCTCAACTTGTATGCCTCCAATCATTTTAAAACAAAAAAGACAACATTAGAACATGTATCAAAACAACATGAAAGCATGCAAATTGATGTTGAAATCAAGTAAACATTTATTTGATTTTATGAGAGTTGTATGAAACTATTAATATGATGTTTGTGTTATACTATTTTACATACCAACATTATGTCGCATTGAGGGTTAGGCTAGAAACATTGTAGATGAAGGCCATGTCGCGACATAGGATAGCAGATCTGCACCGAATACAGTTTGGTTACTCCGCGCGTAAAGGCCGGTTGAGTGGATATGATATATAGTGGGCCAGAGCAGCCAAGCATTACAGTTTTCATCCAGTTTCATACAGTTTTTCTTATCACTTCGGTTTCACTATAACCTTATGGAGCCATACAGATATCTTGACTTAACATTGCATGAATCATACTAATAAACAGAAAGAAAGACCATCAAGGTAAACTGAAAGTATCATGATATGTGTGCTTATACGTGCCATATGTGTTATATAGTTCTTTCTACACATGTATGTGCTTAATTGCTTCTTTTTAAGTTGAGATATCCACTGAGCTTTATTTGCTCAGCGAGTTACCTGTTTAACTCGCAGGTTTTGAGACTGGACCGTAGAGAGTCAGCTTACAACTCAAACTGCTGCAGTTCATCTGTAGAAGACTCAGTCTTCAGGGTAAGCCTACTCATTTGGATGTTGTATCTTTTGTCTATCCTTTTCATGGCATTGTACAGGGCACTTTTCATGGCATGTACAGGGCACACAGTTGGGCCCATTCCATTTTGAAACTAGTATCATGTCTTGTAAATATTAATTACATTATTAATGTAACAACATCAGCATGATATTATATTCAATATACATTATGATTTCGGCATGACAGGACATAAAGTCAACCAGTTTGTAACGTCTCGGCTCGTTTATTCGGGTTTATGGGTGGACCGGGAAGGGATGTTACATTAATTAAATTGAATTTGAATAAATAATCGATCAAATATAATTTTGCTAAGAATCAGTCGATATAATGTATATGCAAATTAATTCTGAATTGTTAAATATATTTCATGAACATGAACATTAGTTACAACTAGAAGGTTTGGTATTGAGATAAGAATTCCTAGCCAATATTTATGCAAGCTAATTTAGGAATTTTAATAAATATTGTTAGGAGTTATAATTTAAGGCTTAGACAAGTAAATAGTTATAGAGCAATTAATAATATCGTTGAATCATGCTTGGAGGTTAATATAAATTGTTAATTAATTGATTTGGAATTATTAAGTGTATATATGTGAGTGTGATGGATGATATATGTA